CAGGAGCTGCAGAATTCCAAAACCCAAGATGTTGGAAACTGGAGTCCATTTGGCACCAAAATATACGACATTTTTCCCAGTGGTAAAGCCTTAATCTTAAGTGAAGAGCCACAGGATAGAGAGAGGGCAGTGAATGGAAAGCAGGACTGTCTTTGAAGGGCTTGTGCTGAAACATAGAGAGGAAAAGGGCAAAACCATATATGAGTCCCTGTAAACACTGAGGGGTTCAGAACTCATCCTCTATCAAGATGGGAAAAGCTTTAGGGGGGGGACCGTGGTAGTTTCCTGCCACACTGGAACACTCTGAAGCTTCCAGAGGACTTTAATTCCAGAGAAAGGGGTTTTTTAACAGGCAAGGTGTTTTAAGCTCTGAAGAACATGACTGCCTCTAGGCTTCAGGTTTGTACTGGACGTTGCAGAGTGGGACCATAGTACCCCACTAGATCTGGGATGCTGCTTTGTGGTTATCAGGTGTTCTGGTTTGGTTTTGTGGGTTTTTGGTAGTGGAGGAAGGGCACCAGAAAAGAAGCTGAGAATCTCTCTCAGCTCCAAAGGCAGCCAAGGAGCCATTAGAGAGACAATAGATGCACCTCAGCGATTAACATAAGAAAGAAGGGATATAACACCTGAGAAGAGCTAGCAGGGAGAGAGAGGAGCTGTTCTGAAGAAGGAGAGCTGTGCTGGAAGAGGAGAGTGGTGCTGGTGGTTGGTGAGGAAGAAGGGGAAGAAGGTGCCCAAGCAGAAGTTTCCCTGCAGCCCATGGCGAGATGGCAGCTGTGCCCCTGCACTCTGGTGGAACGTGGTGGGACATTCCCTGGGCGTGCCAGGAGGGGGGAACTTGGCCAGTGGACTTGGATTTTGTGGCCAGTGGATTTCCTGCCTGTGGACTCTGATTAGGCAGCTGTGGAAGACCCCGGAACCAGGGGAGTTTGTTCCCAAAGCAGCCGTGACTCTGTGGGCAGCCCAGGCTGGAGCAGCTCCAGGCCTGGTGGGAAGGACTCATGAAGGAGAGGTTGGTGGAGGATCTGCCATGGGAGGGACCTTGTGAGGAAGCAGGGCAGGACTGTAAGGAATCCTTCTTCCTGAGGAGGAAGGAGCAGCAGGAACCACCAGCCTGTGAACTGACTCTAAACCCCATCCCCATCCCCTGTGCTGGGGGGAAGGAGGGAGAGAAACTGGGAACAAAGTGATTTGGGGCCCGGGACAAGGGAGGGGTGGGGTAACACCTGCAAGCCCTGCTCTGTGTGTGTCTGTGTCCTGGGTGTGTGTGATTAGTGTGAGATTAAGTTATTATTTTTTCCCCAAGTTGAGTCTGTTTTGCCCGGGACCTTAATCAATGAAGATCCCTCCTTGTCCTTTGTGTCAGCCCATGAGCTTTGTCCTCCTCATGCCAGAGTGTGTGTGTGGGGGAACTGAGTGAGCAGCCATGGGGCTGCTCCTTTGTTGTCCTGTTGGGCCCAAACCGCAACACCCCTCAACCCAAATTATACTGTGCTCCTCTTGAAGAGTTGTGACTGAGGCCACGAGGTGTTTTTTGTGGGAAAAGAGAACTTGGATTTGCTTTGCTTTATCTTCCTTGCAGAGGACTGTGAGATGAGCAGCACTTAAGTGGATAATCACCCTTGGGTGTGACAAATAGGCAAATTTATGCCTGATAGGGAGGACAGGCCCAACTCACAGGAAGGCAGACATCACTGTCCTTGTCTACTTATCTTCAAATCCAGGTACCTAATGGCTACATGTCCAGACAGGGCATAACTTATGAAGTGCATCAAAGGCTCCATGGTCAGAAGCTGTGTGATAAAGGCTGGATCTAAGCCTGTGTGACTTCATCTGGTGATTTGCGTATGAAGTGAGCCCTGGGCATTACAATTTACATGTGAAGTGGGCACTGGGCATCTCCCTTATCTTTTCCCTAGTTAATAAATATAATTAGTCTGTTAAGAACCAATCAATACACTAGTGAAGACCTAAGTCCCACCTTGTCAAAAGGTAATAAATTAGTTCTTGAATCCCTTGTTCAGTGTGAGAAGCATCTCCCCTGGAATAGGTTGAAGGTCCTGTTCCTCTCTTGTTCACCCAAGCAGGGATGCCTCCTTTGGTGAGATACTGTGACTTTCACCTTTTAGGTAGGAGTGAGAGCATCCCCAGGTGTATTGTGTATTGTTTACTTATCACTGTTATTATTGCTACAATATTAACATCTATTAATAGCTCTGTTGTAGTCAGTGCATTTATCAATGGTCATCTCCAACTTGTTGTATCTGTCACTTTAATAAACTACCTTCCCTTTGTATCCAACTACTTTGTATTTACCACAACAGAAAAAATATAACAAAATAAATTAGATGTTAAAATGTTATTTAATTAAGTAGTTTTAATTGGAAAACACCAAAGCATTTTTAGTCTGTTTCCAGTATTGCTATGTCCCTTTTGCAGCTAGTCCATGTACCAGGTCTCAATTACTTTGTTATTGACAATAATTCAACTCAAAGCTTTATCTACATCAAATGCAGTAATAATTATTTTGACTTAGACTAAGTTCATATAATTATAGTTTAATATAAATATGATGGTAAAACTACAATAACTGTATCACATACATGGGATAGAGGTGCATTGGAGATCAAAGAACTTGCTTTTTTATACTAAAGTTTCAACATTTATACTGAGCTTCAGCTTTTATGACATTTCCTGCCCCATGCAAATCTTGCACTTCACACAGGGCAGGGTCCTAAGCAGTGTCTTTTCCAGTTTGGGATTGCTGAAAATCAGGATCAGAGAATGAACACCTGGCAAAGCTTGTTCTAGAAATGGAATGACAGATGTCACAACATTTTCCATCTTTGATATATAAGCAATTCCCAAGACAAAACAGAGAAAGTTGATGCTGTACAGGAAGAGAAAGGACAGAATAGATTTCATGGCTTTGATGTGGGCATCCATGCTGACGTTCTTCAGTGACTTCATCTGCATCTTGTGTTTGTGTCTCCAGAGAGAAAAGAGGAGGAGAAGGGCAGAAGTGATGACTGCTGTGAATGCAATGGCATATCCGAATCCAGCGAAAAGATAAAAAGGTAAAAAATGCTGATGAAGTCTGATATTCTGTTTCCAGAAATGTCCTCTGCTGGTACAATTGATGTTGTCACAGACTGCTTCATCAATGACTTCATATATGTGGATGCCGAAGCTCAGGGATAAAAGGAGTGAACCCAAGAGCACCCATGGCACGATCCTGTCAATTTTCACTTTCAGGTAGATGAAGAAGCTGTGCTGGAAATTTGCAATTTTGATACAGTAAAAAACAGAAAGGAAGGCAGAAACCCACAGGTTGCAACAATTGAAAAAGGTTTCAATGGCTGAAAGTAATTGAGGCATGGGGTGAACAAAAAAGCATGAAGGATAAATAATTGTAATAAAGGGAGACACCCATATGAAGCACAAGTACCAGAACCGGGTGCATCCCAGAAAGACCAAGATCTTCTCATTGGAGTTAGAGCTTTTCTTTCTGACCCAAGCAATGCAAAGCACAGAAACCATGAAAGCGTTTATCCACATGCCAGCAAATGTCTGCAGGGACAGGAGGGAAATTGCCAAGACATTGTATGTGGTGACATTATATTTGTGTTGAGAGTAACAAGCTTCCATGCTCCAAGGTGGGTGGTGGTGCTGTGCCAGCAAAGGAGGTTGTTGCCCCAGGGCTTAGCACAGGTTGGCAGCTGCTGCTTGGTGTGTGTCACGTATGGAAAGAGGAGCTTTATAGAGCTGGTGGTGGTGGGGATTTTGGTGCTGCTGCTATTCAAAGCAGGGCAGGTGGAAGGATGTAAATGTGCTGGGTATTCCCTTACCTGGTATCAGTGTCGGTCTCCAGCATTTGAATTTCCGTTCCAAAGAGCTGTGTTGAGTGACACAGACAAAGTATAGAGCTGGTGGTGGTAGGGATTTTGGTGCTGCTGCTATTCAAAGCAGGGCAGGTGGAAGGATGTAAATGTGCTGGGTATTCCCTTACCTGGTATCAGTGTCGGTCTCCAGCATTTGAATTTCCGTTCCAAAGAGCTGTGTTGAGTGACACAGACAAAGTAGATGTTTTTCTGTGGTGAACCATGTTGTGGTGCAGTGATTGTGGCCTGACTGATGGCTGTCAGGGTTCAGCACCTGGGTTCTCCTTTCCCTTCGTCCCCTACGATGAGCACAGGGAGGGGTGATCTCAGCCCAGCACATTCTGGGGAGTCACTGTCCTCTTTCATCTGAGAGTGCAGGAGCTGCAGAATTCCAAAACCCAAGATACTGGAAACTGGAGTCCATCTGGGTCCTCCAGAGGCACCTGCTGGGAACGGTCCATCTTCTCTTCCCCTACACAATACTAAACAAAATGCCTTTCAAGCCAACAGAGCAAGAGTGGTGTCTTTTTGCTGATTTAGCCAAGGACAGACTGGCACAGGCCCTTTGCTCTACCTCAGAAGTCCACAACAAGAAAAGAGCATAAGCGTTGTGATAACTGGTAGAAAAATGGACAACAGGTAAAAGGCTGCCTCTGACAGAGCGTGTACCTGGCCAGTGCTAATTGGCTAATTTGAACAGTGGTACTTTCTCAAACAGTGACTTCTGATCCAGAAAAAGGGGGCAAGTTCTGCAGGCCTGTGGCTCTCTGCCTGCCCAGGGAGACCCCCTGCAGCAGCACCAGAAGCCATGGGAACCTGGAGGGGACCCTGCTGCAGGACCAGAAGCCACCTGGAATGCCAGCCTTGCTGTCTGGAGGAGCCAAGAGGGAAGGGGGGGGCTGCCCCGTGCCCGCTGCCCAGAGAAGTGGAAAGGGGTCCCACCTGTACCCGCTCTATGAGGATCGTGCCTGCTCCATGGGGATTCAAGCCTGCTTGCTGAGTCCTGCCTGCTCCCGAGGGATTGCTGCCTGCCCCATCCTAAACCAAACCGGACTGGAGTAGGAGCTCGCCCAGCCTGCGCTTGCCCCCTGCTTCGGGACTGTCACAGTTTGACTCAGGTCCGACAACAATGCTCTCGATCCCCCCTCCCACCCAGGTAGGGAAGAAGAGAGAGAAAAAGAGAGAGACTTGGCTGGATTGAAAACTAAACTACACAGCTTTAATTAAAACACTAATGAATGATACAAGAAAATATATACAAT